AAAGTTCGACTAATTTATTAGATGTAGGTTAGTTTTGTACGTTCGCATTGTTCTTATGTTCCTCATAATCATATTTTTTGAGAATTGTACAAATTTTAGTATTGTTATTGTATCCTAGATTAGACTAGGTGTAATATAGTACTAAGGTTCCAGTTCAATAATTCTAACGTTCACTGTTTGTCGAAATATACAATGTTTTCTAAGCGCTGTTTTATTAATTATTACTCTCTACCTTAGACAAAAAAATCCAAAATTCCAAATTTCGCAACTAGAAAATACCAAAAATCAAATTTCAAAAATTTCAGCTTTTTCAATTGGTTTCTTCAGTTTTTATTTTTTTGTTTCTTGATTTTACGATATGCAACTCTTCATTTTTAAATTTTTTAGTTTTTCGATTTTCCAAATTTTTAATGTTCCAATTTTTAGATTTTGCAGTTTGCGATTTCTAATTTTTCAGTTTTAACGATGTTATAGTTTTTTGATTTTCTAGTTTTTTCGGCTTTGAAATTTCTAGGTTTTTAGCTCTTTAATGTTCCAATTTTTCGTTTTTTCAACTCTTCAATTTAGAACTTTTCGATTTTCCATTTTTTCAATAGTGCACTTTTTGGTTTTTCAATTTTTTGTTTCTTCAGTTTGTTATTGGGAATTTAAGTTTTTCAGTTTGTAGCTGCAATGTTTCGATTTTTCGTTCCGTCAGTTCTTCAATTGTCCATTCTTTTAATTTTGCAATTTTTGATTTCTCAGTTTTTCAATTTTTCATTTTTTTCCCGAATAGCCAGAGATAGTGGTTAGATTTTTAATTTTTCGATTCAACTTTTCAAAATGGAAAAAGTACAAAATTGTAAAATTGAAAAATCAAAAATGAACTATAAACTGAAAACTTTGAAAAATCTAAAAATTCGAAATCGAGAACTTGAAAAATTGAATAAACGAAAAATTATAAAACCCAAAGAAATGTTGAAAAATTATAGGAAACGAAAAAATGAAAAACTGCTATATGAAAATTAAACATTAGGAAAATAAAAAATAAAACTCAAATGAGTCGAAAAATTGAAATTTTTTCTATTTTTCAGTTTTTGGTAATTTGAGATTTTAGTTTTTTGACCTCTCGGTTTTAGATTTTTGTTTATCAGTTCTATATCTTTTTAATTTTTCATTTCTTCAAATTTTTTATTTGCAAATTTTCGTTTCGCTCCTTTCATTTGCTTAATTTTTACAATTTTTCGATTTTTCGGAGTTCCGATTTTATAATTTCAGTTTTTCGATTTTCCAAACTTCGGATGTTTCAGTTTTTAGATTTTGCAATTTCTCGATTTGGAATTTCACGAGTTTCAAATTTTTCTTTCTTAAATTTTGGTTTCCGTTTTTTTTTTTTTCATTTTTCAACTTTTTCTGATTACTATTTTTTTCAATTTTTGATGATTTTACAGTTTTTTGATTTTACAATTTTTTTATTCATTTTTACGATTTCTGAATTTTTAGCTTTTTAAAGTTTCGATTTTTTATTTTTTCAGTTCTTCAATTTGCAATTTTTCGATTTTCCATTTTTTCAATTTGCACTTTTTGGTTTTTTCAATTGTTCGATTTTTTAGCTACAAAACTGTCAAATTGAACAATCAAAAATGAAAAAACAATGAAATGAAAGCTTTGAAAAACTAAAAATTATAAATCAAGAACTTGAAAAATCGAAATATTGAAAATTAAAGAAATCGGTCAATCGGTTATTTGAGTAATCAGAAAATCGAAGAATTTGAAAAATCAACGATACAAATTTGAAAAATTTAATAAACCTGATATTATTAAATCGAAAGAAACTTTAACAAATTAAAACTTCGGGAAAATCAAAACAATCGAAACATTAAAGAAACGAAAAATTATGAAACCGAAACATTGAAAAATGGAAAAACTGAAAAATTTTAAAAATGAAAACACTAAAAATTGTGCTGTCAAAAAATTGGTCGAAGTTAAATAAACCTTAAAATCGAAAAATTGAGAAATCCTGAAATGGCAAAAATTCCAAAAATTGAAGTGTTGCAAAGTTGACAAATCGAAAAATTTTAAGAACTGAAAGACCGAGAAGTCTTGAAATCCGAAAATCGAAAAACGAAAAATTGAAAAGTCTAAAAACTGAAGAATGCAAAAATTGAAAATTTGAAAAATCAGAAAATCGAAAACTCGAGAAATCAAAAAATTAAATAGAAAAATAATTGAAAAAACGAATTACCTAAGAATGGAAAAATTGAAAATTCGAATACCGAAAAGTAAAAAAAATAAATAAGAATTCTTATTATAAAATACGAAAAAATCGAAAAATCGAAAATTGGAAAATTCGAAATTGAAAAATCAAAAACTGAGAAATGGAAAGATCGAAAAATAGAAAAATCCAGACACGGCAAAAATTCCCAAAATCGAAAATTTCTGAAACTGAAAAAACAGAAATTTCGAAAATGAGAAATTCTGTCGAAAAATGATAAAATTGAAAACCTAGTAATTGAAAACTTGAGAAAAAACACAAAAATTACAAAGATTGAAAAATCGGAAAATCAAAATTCGAAAAATTTTCAGAAATCCAAGAATAAAAAATTGAAAAGTCTAAAAACTGAAGAATGGAAAAATTGAAGAACCGTAAATTGGATAAATCAAAAATCGGAGAATTAAAATTAGTCGAACAGTAAACAAAATATAGAGGTTGGAAAATCAAAATTCGAAAATTCGAGAAATCCCAAAATTGAAAAATCGAAAAACTAAAAAACCGTAAAACTGAAGTAGCGGAAAATTGATCATCGAAGAATAAAAAATCGGAAAATCGAAAATGTGAAATACTGAAAATCTGAAAAATAGAAAAATGGGAAAATTAAAAAATTGAAAATCGAAAATTAGAAACGCCAAAAATTAAAAAATGGAAAAACTAAAAAATCGTAAAACTGAAGTATCGGAAAATTGATGATCGAAGAATAAAAAATCGGAAAATAGAAAATGTGCAAGAGTGAAAATCTGAAGAATAGAAAAATGGGAAAATAAAAAAATTGAAAAATGGTGAAACTGAAAATTTAAGAAATCAAAAAATCAAGAAACCGAAACATTGAAAATTCGAGAAATCAAGAAATTCAAAAATCAGAAAAATCTAAAACTCGAACAGAAAAAAGGAGAAATAAAAAATCGTAAATTTAAAAACGTCAAATAATCCAAGAAGCGAAATATAAAAAGAAGAAATATCGAAAAGTGCAAAGCTGAAAAGTCAAGAAATCGAATACGAAAATCGAAAAATAAAAATATCAAAAAATGCAAAAATCGATAATTCGAAATTACAGAAACTGAAAATTTGAAAAATGCAGAAATGGAAGAATTCCCGAAACTGAGACGAAAAGTTGACGAATCAAAAAACCGAAAAGTAAAAAAAGTGAAAAATTGAAGAACGGAATTTAAAATTGGGGAAATCGAAAATTTGAAAAACCAAAAATGCAAAAGTAGCAAAATTGAAAGTTTGAGTATCGAAAATCGAAAACTCAAGAAATCAAAAAATCAAATAGAAAAATTATTGAAAAATCGAGTAACTAATAAGTGATGGAAAAATGAAAACTTCAGATGTCGAAAACTAAAAAAATGGTTTTTCAATGTTCTGATTGTCTAATATTTCTTTTTACTCACCGAGCGTAAGCGAAGGAAGTATTGTAATCGAGTCCGTCGACCGACTACATACTTACACGTTTTCTCGACCTTTCATGACCCCTACAGTACGAAGAAGTAGGTCCCCGTTTCCGTCGGTCTGTCCATCTATCGGCCGTCCCGGATTTCTATTAGACAGATAACCTCCGAAGGTACTGAGCCAATTGTTGTCAAGTTTTTTATTTATGTTGTAGATGGCAAAACGCTGACCAAAATTTGTCTAATCATCCCCGCCAATAATGTGATGACGTCACTTTAAAGCTGTACATGGTAAATGGGTTTTAAATTATGTAAAATAACATAGTCCTACACATGTGGTTTATGACTCCGTGTTGAGTTTTTACCCGAAACGTCCAGATTTTTGGGAAAAAATCATGATTATAAGACATTTGGCAATTTAATTTGGAATGTGCAAAACCAAATGCTTTGAATAACACAATATAGTGTATGATGACTTTAAGCAGGTTAAGCAGCGGGAAAAGAATTCACTCTCAAATAAACTAGTAGTATAATCAAGAAACAATACAACGAAACATAAGTAAAATGACAGATGACAACATTCTGCAATGACACTCTAAAAAAACGTTTTTATTGCCAACCTAACAGTATATTAACTTATCCCCTCCAAAAATTGATGACGTCAAAATTTTGCCGAATACCTACTACATAAAATGTACAAAAACTGTTGACTCTGTACTTGTGATTTATCATTGCATTCATGTTTTTTGGATTTGCTATATAGGTGTCCCAAAAAATTAACGACTTGGTCAATTTATTTTATGGATTAAATCAAGAATTGGAAAACTGAATACATACTTTGAAATCTTGCAGACCTTTTGAAGTTATTGTAAGCATGGCAACTTTTTTACTTTTACTTTCATATTACAAATACATCTTTATTTTGACTTACAAGAGTTATCATAAAAAAATAGAATTCGCAAAATCAAATCTTCTAATTTACTTCAGGAGCGAAATAACGGCAAGCAGACGAATTATTTTCTTTGATACAGGATACAACTTTACCGGCCGAAGCAGCTGTCATTTAAAGGGAACTTTATTCGTCATGGTTGGGATATGTTTTTCCAGGTCCAGGTGGCGCTAGCGTTTTCAGATTTCAAAATTAAACTTTTAATACTTCAGAACATATAAAATAAAATCTGGTTAACGGCCCGATAGTTATTCAGCTCATAATTTTATCTATAAAAAGTGTTTCTTTTGATTATCCGTACTTTGATTACGATGATTTTTTTTTGTTTTTCTGTGAAATGTTCTTATAGCTCATCCTGTTATAAATTAATAATATAAAAGGAATCCTCCAAATCAACGACACGAACTCACACTTAAAATATTTATTTGTACAAATATACACCTAACACACTTAATAAAATATAATTTTGAGCAAATTCACAACGGGGGCTTCGAATAATAGCGAAATTGCGAAGGCGGAGATGAAGGAGAATATTAAATTGCCACAATATATCACGATCTGTAAAGAATCACAATCAAAATCAAAATCAACGACGACGAAACCCAGGACCCAATCTTACCATGAACAATTGGTGCAAATGTAGGGACCCATCCAGGATGAAGCTCGACAAGCACATGAGTACCGGGTGGACCAAGTAAGCGCAATAAGTTAGCCTACTGAGGGGCAGGAATAGCTTGAATTTGAAGAGGGCGCCGAGGGGGCCCCCATAGCCCGAACAGCAAGCCACAGTGATCCAGGCCAGGGCTACTCCCCAAGCCGTGTGGCCCAAGGAAGCCTAAAAGATTGCAATTGTACACAAGAGTCTCTAATGAAGTTGCATCATGAATAGCCTTGACCCACTTCTTTCCAGTGGGGTTTATTGACGTTACGTAAACGAGAAAGTGGAAAAGATTGGAATGTTACGCGAATTGGGGTCGAAAAATTCGTCGAAGGTTGGTGCGATAGTTTCCCTCACCCCTGAAATGTAGTGCAACCAACCGTTATGATTTTTTCGATTTTTCGATAATTCGATTTTTCACGAGAGCGTGATTTCTAGTTCTAGATTTTTAAATTTTCCGTTTTTGAATTTTTCCTTTTGATTTTTTAGTACGTCGCTTTCTCATTTTTCAGTTTTCAACTTTCGAATTTGTCAATTTTTATATTTCTGAATTTTTCTGTTTTTAAGCTTTTGAGTTTACCGCTTTTGGCTTTTTTGATTTTTCAATTTTTCGACATTAATTTCTGTTTTACAATTTCTCAATTTTTTGCTTTTTCGTTTTTTGTATTTCTCGACCTCGTTCAAGTTTAAATTTTTTGATTTTCAATTTTTGAATTTTCTTTTTTACTTTTTACTTCGTCTCTTTTTCATTTTTCAGTTTTTCAACTTTCGAATTTGTCAGTTTGCAGATTTTTCGATTTTTCTGTTTCTGGACTTTTGACTTTTCCGCTTTTGACTTTTTGTTGTTTCATTTTTCCGATTTCTTGGTTTTTTGACGTTTCCTGCTTTTAATTTTTCGATTTTTGATTTTCTGACTTTTGCATTTGTGAATTTTTCGATTTCTTAATGTTACGAATTTTTCATTTCTGGATTTTTTGATTTTTTGAGTTTTAGATTTAATTTTTGATATCTAAGTCTTTTGATTTAGGGTTTTTTGTTTTTTTCGATTTTTGTATTTCTCGACCTCGATTTCTGAATATAAATTTTTAGAATGGCAATTTTTGGATTTTCCTTCTTGATTTTTTCGTTCGTCGCTTTTTCATTTTTCAGATTTTCGATTTTCAAGCCTTTGAATGTAGCAACTTTTAGATTTCTGGATTTTTCTGTCTCTGAACCTTTGATTCTTCCACTTTTTGCTTTTTCGATGTTCCAGTTTTTCGATTTCTTTATTTTTCGACATTTCATGCTTTTAGTTTCTCGAATTTTTGATTTTCTGAGTTTTGCATTTCTGAATTTTTCCATTTCTTAATTTTTCGAATTTTTTATTTTTCTCGATATTTCGAATTTTTGATTTAGAGTTTTGTGGTATTTTTCGATGTTCCGATTTTTTGATTCCCTGATTTTTCGATATTTCACACTTTCCGTTTCTCGATTTTTTTATTTTCGAATTTTATATTTAACTTTTGATTCTCAATACTTGGATTTAGCGTTTCCCAGTTTTTTGAATTTTTCGATAATTCGATTTTTGGATTTTTGGATTTCTCGATCTTGATTTCTGCTTATGCATTTTTTGGTTTGCAATTTTTGGATTCTCCTTTTTAATTTTTTAGTTCGTCGTTTTTTTAAATTTTTTTCTCGATTTTTCTGTCTCTAGACTTTTCGACTTTTCCACTTTTCGCTTTTTCGAAGTTTCAGTTTGTCGATTTTTCGATTTTTGAGTTTCTCGACATTGAATTTCTGGTTATAAATTTTTAGGTATGCAGTTTTTGGATTTTCCTTTTTGATTTTTTCGTTCGTCGCTTTTTCATTTTTCAGTGTTCGATTTTTAAGCCTTTAAATTTTGCAATTTTTAGATTTCTTGATTTTTCTGTTTCTGGACTTTTGATTTTTCCACTTTTGGCGATTTCAATGTTTCCAGTTTTTCGATTCCTTGATTTTTCGACATTTTATGCTTTTAATTTCTCGATTTTTTGATTTTCTGACTTTTGCATTTCTGAATTTTTCGATTTCTTAATTTTTCGAATTTTTCAATTTCTTAATTTTTCGAATTTTTCGACATTTCATTCTTTCGATTTCTGGATTTTTTTATTTTTCGAGTTTTAGATTTAATTTTTGATTTCCCAATCTTTTGATTTAGCGTTTTCTTGTTTTTTTTTCGATTTTTCGATAATTCGATTCTTTGATTTTTGTATTTCTCGACCTCGATTCCTACGTATACATTTTTAGAGTTGCAATTTCTGGATTTTCCTTTTTGATTTTTTAGTTTGTTGTTTTTTTAATTTTTTATATTTCTTGATTTTTCTATATTTAGACTTTTCGATTTTTCCACTTCCTGCTTTTTCGGTCCTCCGATTTTTCGATTTTTTGATTCTTCCATTTTTCGATTTTTGTATTTCTCGACTTCGATTTCTGCTTTTAAATTTTTAATTTTTCAAATTTTTTATTTTTCTTTTTGTTTTTTCATTTGTCGTTTTTAATTTTTTTAGATTTCTAGATTTTTCTATTTCTAGATTTTTCGACTTTTCTACTTTTCGCTTTTTCGATCTTTCAAGTTTTCTATTTCTTGATTTTTTGACATTTCAATCTTTCGATTTCTCGATTTTTTTCAGTTTTAGAGTTCTGGATTTTCCAATTTTTCAGTCTCTCAATTTTTCGAATTTTTGATTTAGCGCTTTCTGGGTTTTTCAATTTTTCAATTATTTGATTTTTGTATTTCTCGATCCCGATTTCTAGTTCTAAATTTTTGGATTTTTCTTTCTGATTCTTTAGTTCGAATTTTTCACTTTTTCAATTTTCAAACTTTCAAATTTTTCTATTTTTCAATTCCTGGATTTTTCGTTTTTCAATGTTATGATTTTTCGATTTTTTGATTTTTCGAAATTTGGATTTTTAAATTTTTTCTTTTCCCAATTTTTCGACGTCTTGATTTCTTGATTTTTCAATTTTTTGATTTCGTGTTTTCTGATTTTTTGGATTTCTGTATTTCTTGACTTTGATTTCTAGGTTTAAATTTTCAGAATTTCAATTTTGGAGTTTTTTATTCGTAGCTTTTTGAATTTTCAAACTTCCGAGTTTTTCAGTTTTTTAGATTTCTCGATTTTTTTAGTTCCGGACTTTTCGACATTTCAATCTTTCGATTTTTCAGTTTTTCGTTTTTTTTTTATTTTTTTGTTTTGGTGTTAAAATTTTTCGATTTCTGAATTTTTCAACTTTTTGATTTCTCAATTTTTCAATGACTCAATATTTCGATTTTTGTATTTCTCGACTTCGATTTCTAATTCTAAATTTTTAGATTTTTCAATTTTCGGATTTTTCTTTGTGATTTTTTAGTTCGTCGTTTTTTAATTTTTTATATTTCTTGATTTTTCTATGTTTAAACTTCGATTTTTCCACTTCCTGCTTTTTCGGTGTTCCGATTTTTCGATTTTTTGATTCTTCCATTTTTCGATATTTGTATTTCTCGACTTCGATTTGATTCTAAATTTTTAGATTTTTCAATTTTTTTATTTTTCTTTTTGTTTTTTCATTTGTCGTTTTTAATTTTTTTAGATTTCTCGATTTTTCTATTTCTAGATTTTTCGACTTTTCGCTTTTTCGATGTTTCAAGTTTTCGATTTCTCGATTTTTTGACATTCAATCTTTCGATTTCTCGATTTTTTTCAGTTTTAGAGTTCTGGATTTTCCAATTTTTCAGTTTCTCAATTTTTCCAATTTTTGATTTAGCGCTTTCTGGGTTTTTCAATTTTTCGATTATTCGATTATTGTATTTCGCGATCTCGATTTCTAGTTCTAAATTTTTGGATTTTTCTTTCTGATTTTTAGTTCGAATTTTTCACTTTTTCAATTTTCAAACTTTCAAATTTTTCTATTTTTCAATTCCTGGATTTTTCGTTTTTCAATGTAATGATTTTTCGATTTTTTGAGTTTTCGAGATTTGGATTTTTAAATTTTTTATTTTCCCAATTTTTTGACGTCTTGACTTCTTGGTTTTTCAATTTTTTAATTTCGTAATTTCTGATTTTTTCTATTTCTGTATTTCTTGACATTGATTTCTAGGTTTAAATTTTTAGAATTTCAAATTTTGGATTTTTTTAATTCGTATCTTTTTGAATTTTCAAACTTCCGAGTTTTTCAATTTTTTTGATTTCTCAATTTTTCAATGATTCAATATTTCGATTTTTGTACTTCTCGACTTCGATTTCTAATTCAAAATTTTTAGATTTTTCAATTTTCGGATTTTTCTTTGTGATTTTTTAGTTCGTCCTTTTTAATTTTTTTAGATATCTCGATTATTCTATTTCTACACTGTTCGACTTATCCACTTTTTCCAAAATTTAATCAAAACAGTAACTCCCTCATTCCAACAATACCACTTACGTAAAACGCTGAAGTCGGAACCACCAATCCCTGCCGTCCCACTCCGTACACCAGACTGAACAGACACCCTAGGGACAAAATCCACCCTACGACGACCCACACCGCCGCCAACTTGACCTGACAGTTCACCTTGAAGAGGAAGTACCCGGCAATCATGCCCACGAAGTACGGCCCTATCCTCATCCAGGGCTTGTCATACAGTTGGTCGAACAGGGCGAAGGGCTCTTCCACCCTTATCGTGTACTCGTACTTCATGGCGATGATGAAAGTCAGTACCCAGGAGGCCACCATGAAGACCCCCAGCGCCACCGCGGCGAACTTTAGGTGTTTGTTGCCTCTGGGGGACAAAATCATTAATTCTAACAATTTGCGACAATTTGGAGAAAAGTTGAGACGCTTTAGGGAGAAGAGGTACTTCACTGTGTTAGTCTACTTGAGAATGACCATCTTATGCAAAAACCCGGGTTAAAAATCGCCCTTGGTACGTCCAAATGGTGTTCCAAATTTGACCAGAAATTCTAAACAATTTGGAATAATTTACGGACAAGTTGAGACGCTTTAGGGAGAAGAGGTACTTCACTGTGTTAGTCTAGTTGAGAATGACCCCCTCATGCAAAAACCCGGGTTAAAAGTCGCCCCTGGTACCACCAAATCGTGTTCAAAATTCGGGCACGCACCTCACGGCTATCAGAAGGAGTATCGATGCGATTAGGTAGAACTGGGTGTCGTTGGCGATGTACCACGACCACAGCATGCAGAACTCCGTCTGGGGGTAGAAGTTGTTGATGTAGAGAGCATTCCTCCACCAGAAGCTGCTGCAGGTGATGTGGTCAATGATAGCCGGAGTGAAGACCGAGTAGCTGTGGAGGAACCTCAAAATCACCTCGTTGACTCCCAGAACGAAGAGATACGCCGGAGTGAGTCGGAAGAACCTATAGATGACTAGGACGAAGAACTGGCCGACGTTGGATTTGACAGCCTGGCACGTGGTTTCGTCTTTGGGGGTTTTCTTTGCCGAGGAGCGAAAATAGGTGATTGTAACGAGAAGACCGCTGATGAAGAAAAACGTGTCCACGGAGAAGGTGGCGTTGGAGATCGTCTGGTACAAGAAGGTACGTTCCGTGACGATTCGCATGTTTTTGTTTTCGCCTATGGAGAAGACCTCGAGGTACGTGTGTACCATGATGATCCAGGCTATGGAGAAGAAGCGGAGGCCGTGGATGCACTGGATAGAGCCTTCGGAGACGCTTTCCACGTTGAAGATTTTTTCGCCGTTGGTGATGGCCGAGAAGCTGAGGAGAAGGCGCAAAAGCAACGACTGCTGAGGTTTTTTGGTGTCTTTTTTGGCACCTTTTTCGTCGTCGTTGTTGTTGTTGTTGTTATTAGCGATTTCGGCGTCGGTTTTGTCGTTTTTTTTGAGGGTGAGGTGTTCGACGATTGAGGCGATTAGGACGAGGACGGCAGTAGCCAGACAGACGCCTCTAGAAAAACAAAGATTTCTCTTTTTTAGACTCGACTCAATTTGAAAGCGAAATGTTTAGGAAAAAATTGGCCGAGTTAAGTTTTATTGAGCTTTAAGAAATTAAATATTTCGGCAATGTCAAAATAGGAATAAAAAATAAATGTATGACATAAAAGATAACGATTTTCCAATTTTTCATTTTTTTTTTGTTTCTTCAATGTCTAGATTTTGCAATTTTTCAATTTAAAATGTCTCGAGTCTACTTTAATTATTATTATTATTTTTATTTCTTCAAATTTGGATTTGCAATTTTTATTTCGGAGTTTATTTTCTTCATTTTTACTATTTTTGTTTTTTCAATTTCAATTTTTTAAATTTGTAAATTGTAATTTTTCGATTTTTCAGTTTTTCTTGTCTTCAGTTTTTCGATTTGTTATATTTTGTTTCAGTTTCTTCTTTTCTTAATTTTTTGTTTGTCAGTTTTAATTTTTCAATTTTTCGTTTTGCGATTTACCAATTTTTCACTTTTCTTATTTCCTTATTTTTTTGAGCTTACAATTTTTATTTTTCAATTTCATTTCTTCAATTTATCGTTTCGGTCTGTTATTTTCTCCATTTGTACAATTTTTCGACTTTTCGATATTCCGTTTTTATAATTTTTGTTTTCTCAATTTCAGTTTCTTCATTTTTCATTTTTTTTTGTTTCTTCAGTTCTACGACATGCAACTCTTCAAGTTTTCATTTTTAGTTTTTCAGTTTTATGATTTTCCAACTTTTGGATGTTATAATGTTTAGATTTTGCAATTTTTCGATTGCGATATTTTCGTTTCGGTTTATTTTTTCTCTATTTTTTCTTTTTTTCAATGTAAGTTTTCAATTTTTCGATTCTTCAATTTTGCGATTTACAGTTTTTAGTTTCGGTTTTTTATTTTCTTTATTTTTACAATTTTTCGATTATTCAATGTTACGATTTTGTAATTTTTTTTTTCAGTTTCAATTCCCTCAATTTTCCTTTTCTGTTTTTCATTTTCTTCATTTTTACAATTATTCGATTTTTCAATGTTCTGATTTTATAATACTTTTGTTTTTTCAATTTCAATTTTTGATTTTTTCAGTTTTTCGTTTTACAGTTTTGGTTTCTTATTTTCTTATATTTTTTTAATTTTGCTGTTTTCCAATGTTCTAGTTTTCTTTTTTCGATTTTTTGTTTCTTCAGTTTTTTTAATTTTTCGTTTCTCCAGTTTTTATAATTTTTCGTTTTTTCAATTTTCCGATTTGCGATTTTCCAATTTTTCACTTTTCTTGTTTCCTTAATTTTTAGAGTTCGCAATTTTTTTATTTAAAATTTCTCGAGTTTACAATTTTTAATTTTTCAATTTCATTTCTTCAATTTTTCCTTTCGGTCCGTTATTTTCACAATTTTTCGACTTTTCGATATTTCGATTTTATAATTTTCGTTTCTCAATTTTGTTTTCTTCATTTTTCACTTTTCTTGTTTTTTCAGTTCTGCAATTCTTCGACTTTTCGTTCCTTCAATTTTCTGAGTTGCGATTTTTCAATTTTTCATTCTTATTGGTTTCTTCGATTTTTAAATTTTGCGATTTTTTATTTAGGGGTATTTTCTTCATTTTTATAATTATTCTAAAATGTTTCAGTGTTCCGATTTTGTAATTTTTTTGTTTTTTGAATTTCAATTTTTTTCAATTTTTCTTATATACAATTTTTTGAGTTTTCATTTTTAAATTTTTCAGTTTTTTCAATTTTCCATCTTTTAGATGTTTTAATTTTTCGATTTGCATTTTCACGAGTTTTCAGTTTTTAGTTTTTGGATTTTTGGATTTTTCATTTTTTCATATCTTTAATTTACGATTTGCTATTCTTCAGTTTTTTATTTTTGATTTTTTAATTTTTCGTTTCTTCAATTCTAGATTTTTCAGTTTCATGATTTTTTAATTTTTCATTTCGCCAATTTTTTATTTGTAATTTATCTAGTATTTATTTTAAATATGTATGTATGTAATAAATAACAATTTTAAAATTTTTCACTTTTCTTATTTCCTTATTTTTTTGAGCTTACAATTTTTAATTTTTCAATTTCATTTCTTCAATTTATCGTTTCGGTCTGTTATTTTCTCCGTTTGTACAATTTTTCGACTTTTCGATATTCCGTTTTCATAATTTTTGTTTTCTCAATTTCAGTTTCTTCATTTTTCATTTTTTTTGTTTCTTCAGTTCTACGACATGCAACTCTTCAAGTTTTCATTTTTAATTTTTCAGTTTTATGATTTTCCAACTTTTGGATGTTTTAATTTTTAGATTTTGCAATTTTTCGATTGCGATATTTTCGTTTCGGTTTATTTTTTCTCTATTTTTTCTTTTTTTCAATGTAAATTTTCAATTCTTCGATTCTTCAACTTTTGGTTTCTTCAATTTTGCGATTTACAGTTTTTAGTTTCGGTTTTTCATTTTCTTTATTTTTACAATTTTTCGGTTTTTCAATGTTCCGATTTTGTAATTTTTTTTTTCAGTTTCAATTCTCTCAATTTTCCGTTTCTGTTTTTCATTTTCTTCATTTTTACAATTATTCGATTTTTCAATGTTCTGATTTTATAATACTTTTGTTTTTTCGATTTCAATTTTTGTTTTTTTCAGTTTTTTTTTATAAAATTTCTCGAGTTTACAATTTTTAATTTTTCATTCTCATTTCTTCAATTTTTCGTTTCAGTCCGTTATTTTCTCCATTTTTTCAATTTTTCGACTTTTTGATATTTCGATTTTATAATTTTTGCTTCTCAGTTTTGATTTCTTCATTTTGCGATTTTTCAATTTTTCATTCTTATTGTTTTCTTCGATTTTTAAATTTTGCGATTTTTTATTTAGGGGTATTTTCTTCATTTTTATAATTTTTCTAAAATTTTTCAGTGTTCCGATTTTGTAATTTTTTGTTTTTTCAATTTTTGTTTTCTTCAATATTTTGAGTTTTCATTTTTAAATTTTTCAGTTTTATCAATTTTCCATCTTTTGGATGTTTTAATTTTTGAATTTTTCAATTTTTCATGTCTTTAATTTTCGATTTGCTATTCTTCGGATTTTTATTTTTTAGATTTTTTAATTTTTCGTTTCTGCAATTCTAAATTTTTCAGTTTCATGATTTTTTAATTTTTCATTTCGCCAATTTTTTATTTGTAATTTCTCTAGTTTTTATTTTAAATATGTAATAGTGAATACAATTTTAAAATTTTTCACTTTTCGTTTACATATTTGATTTTTTTCTATATTCAATTTTTCAATTTTTCGACCTTTCAATGTCACAATTTTCACGATTCTATAATTTTTCGATTTTACATTTTTTAGGTTTTCCAAATTTTCGATTCGATTCTGTTTTTCTTCTTTCCATTTTTTCGATTTTCAAGTTTCTCAATTTTTAGTTTTTCAATGTTTCAGTTTTTCAACTTTTCGAAGCAAAAAATGGAAAAAGTACAAAAAGAAAACTTTGAAATATTATAAATTGGAAATCAAGAACTTGAAAAATTGAAGAAAGAAAAAATTGAAAAAACAAAACAATAAAAACTGAAACACTTAAAATTCCAAGAAAGTGCGAAAATGAAAGAAATCGGAAAATCGGACAACTGGAAATCCAAAAATTGAAAAAATTTTCCATTTTCCAACTATTTCAAAACTTTTTCATTTAATCGATTTTCAATTTTTCGGTTTTTCTGTTACAGTTAATTTTGACGATTTTATAAATTTCGATTTTGCAGTCTTTGGGTTTTCGATTTTTTCGATTCGATTGGTTTTTTCTTCTTTTCAATTTTTTGATTTTTTATTTTGTTTTTAAGTTTCCCGATTTTTAGTTTCTCAATGTTTCGATTTTCGTTTTCTCAATTCTTCGATTTGCAAATTTTCGATTTTTTAAAATTTCAAAATTGGAAAAGTGAAAAATCACAAATGAAAAAACGAAAAAGTACAAAAAGAAAACTTTGAAATATTATAAATTGGAAATCAAGAACTTGAAAAATTGAAGAAAGGAAAAATTGAAAAATTAAAACATTGAAAACTGAAAAACTTAAAATTCGAAAAAAGTGCGAAAATTAAAGAAATCGGAAAATCGGGCAATTGGAAATCCAAAAATTGGAAAATTTTTCCATTTTCCAACTATTGAGTTTCAAAACTTTTCATTTATTCGATTTTCAATTTTTCGGTTTTTCTATGTCACAGTTAATTTTGACGATTTTATAAATTTCGATTTTGCAGTCTTTGGGTTTTCGATTTTTTCGATTCGATTGGTTTTTTCTTCTTTTTAATTTTTTGATTTTTTATTTTGTTTTTAAGTTTCCCGATTTTTAGTTTCTCAATGTTTCGATTTTCGTTTTCTCAGTTCTTCGATTTGCAAATTTTCGATTTTTTAAAATTTCAAAATTGGAAAAGTGAAAAATCACAAATGAAAAAACGAAAAAGTGCAAAAAGAAAACTTTGAAATATTATAAAATGGAAATCAAGAACTTGAAAAATTGAAGAAAGAAAACATTGAAAAATTAAAACATTGAAAACTGAAAAACTTAAAATTCGAAAAAAGTGCGAAAATTAAAGAAATCGGAAAATCGGACAATTGGAAATCCAAAAATTGGAAAATTTTACCATTTTCCAACTATTGAGTTTCAAAACTTTTCATTTATTCGATTTTCAATTTTTCGGTTTTTCTGTCACAGTTAATTTTGACGATTTTATAAATTTCGATTTTGCAGTCTTTGGGTTTTCGATTTTTTCGATTCGATTCGTTTTTTCTTCTTTTCAATTTTTTGATTTTTTATTTTGTTTTTAAGTTCCTCGATTATTAGTTTCTCAATGTTTCGATTTTCGTTTTCTCAATTCTTCGATTTGCAAATTTTCGATTTTTTAAAATTTCAAAATTGGAAAAGTGAAAAATCACAAATGAAAAAACGAAAAAGTACAAAAAGAAAACTTTGAAATATTATAAATTGGAAATCAAGAACTTGAAAAATTGAAGAAAGAAAACACTGAAAAATTAAAACATTGAAAACTGAAAAACTTAGAATTCGAAAAAAGTGCGAAAATTAAAGAAATCGGAAAATCGGACAATTGGAAATCCAAAAATTGGAAATTTTTTCCATTTTCCAACTATTGAGTTTCAAAACTTTTCATTTATTCGATTTTCAATTTTTCGGTTTTTCTGTCACAGTTAATTTTGACGATTTTATAAATTTCGATTTTGCAGTCTTTGGGTTTTCGATTTTTTCGATTCGATTGGTTTTTTCTTCTTTTCAATTTTTTGATTTTTTATTTTGTTTTTAAGTTTCCCGATTTTTAGTTTCTCAATGTTTCGATTTTCGTTTTCTCAATTCTTCGATTTGCAAATTTTCGATTTTTTAAAATTTCAAAATTGGAAAAGTGAAAAATCACAAATGAAAAAACGAAAAAGTGCAAAAAGAAAACTTTGAAATATTATAAATTGGAAATCAAAAACTTGAAAAATTGAAGAAAGAAAAAATCAAAACATTAAAAACTGAAAACTTAAAATTCGAAAAAAGTGCGAAAATTAAAGAAATCGGAAAATCGGACAATTGGAAATCCAAAAATTGGAAAATTTTTCCATTTTCCAACTATTGAGTTTCAAAACTTTTCATTTATTCGATTTTCAATTTTTCGGTGTTTCTATGTTACAGTTAATTTTGACGATTTTATAAATTTTCAGTTTGCAGTCTTTGGGTTTTCGATTTTTTCGATTCGATTCGTTTTTTCTTCTTTTCAATTTTTTATATTGTTTTTAAGTTTCCCGATTTTTATTTTCTCAATGTTTCGATTTTCGTTTTCTAATTCTTCGATTTACAAATTTTCGATTTTTCAAAATTTCCAACAAAAAAATGGAACGACCACAAAATTGTTGTATTAAAAAATCAAAAATGAGAAAACGAAGAAGTATAAAATGAAAATTGGAAATCAAGAACCTGGAAAATTGAAGAAACAAAAAATTGAAACCCATAAAAATGGAAAAAGTGCAAAATCGAAAAAATGAAATATGTATAAAAAGAATAAAGGAAATAGAAAAACGAAAAATCTAATAAGTAATTACGAAAATGTAAAATTAAAATCAAGAAATTAAAATAACTGTAATTAAAAAAATCAGTTTTTCATTTATTCGACTTCGAATTTCAATTTTTCATTTTTTAATTTTTCGTTTTTTCAATTTTAATTTTTTCAGTTGTTCTAGTTTTCATTTTAAATTGTAATAATAATTATAAGTTTTTCATTTATTCGGTTTTTCAATTTTTCGACTTTACAATTTTGACGATTGTATAAATTTCGATTAAGAAACATTAAAAACTAAAGAAAATGAAAAAACGAAAAATTGTGACACAAAATCGAGAAAAATATCGGGAAAATGAAAAATAAAAGTCGATAAATTGAAAAATTGAAAAATAAAAAATTTGAAACAAAAAACGCGAAAAATTGTAACAACAACAAATTGGTCGAAGGTAAAGAAATCCAGACTTTTCGAAAAATTATAAGATTTGATTTTGCGAATTTTATTTTAATGATTGATTTAATCAATAAATTAAATTGCCTCCTTGGTGAATTTTTTGACCTACTCTGCCGTTTCTGCGTTAAATTGCACAATATAATACAACTTTGATTTGTTTTCGCTTACGCTCAGGAAATAATAAAAGCGCTATTTTTGTAAAAGGAAGGTCGCGCTCCACTTAAACTTTCGATTTCACCGTTCTTACCCAACAATCTGGAATTTGGGGTCTTGTAACACGTCATAGTCCCCTGGTACTTTCCTGATCCCTACGACGCTCAAACTACTCCCGGATTTGCGCTCCGTGGCCAGGAGTACCCGGACGTCCGATGGGCTGCACGAGGCCGGCAAGCACTCTCCGACATTCAGCTGTCTGGTCTGGAAAGTTACGCAATCATTGGGCTTTCTCTTAAGGTTGAGAGTGCATCCGATTTAGTACCACTTTAAGTAGATAATGTTAGTACTGCATTTGCGCAAGAAGCGAAAGTCGGTTTTCCCGGGACGAAAATTCGGTGAAATTCTTACCACGGGCGTGAGCTTCCCGTTGATGTTGATGCGGACTTTGGCCACCAGGAAGGTGATGGGGAACGGTGGTACCTCGGTGTTGGTCTCTTCGTTGGTCAGTTCGTTACATAAGCTGCTGGATCCTAGCCAGTAGTCGTTCCCGAAGAAGAACTGCCCGGAGTACCGTCCGGATGCGTCGTACACTAAAAAAAGTACGAAACACTACTATAATAGGTGGTTCCGGTGTAAATGAAGTACTATTTTGGGCATAATTATTGTAAAAAAGGAACACGCGAACGCGAAATGGGTGTTTAATTATGGGAGAAAAAACTAAGTGGGTGTAATGGCGTGTAAGTGGGCAAATTATCCGCAAGGTGATGACTACCTACATTTCTTTTTGAGGAAGGTCAAGTGCACTTTTACTGGCATGCGATTAATTAGCACGTTGATATTTATGGGTCAGTTTAAAGTGGTGACGTCAAGAAATGTTTGGAGGAAATACGGAGACAAAAATGCAAAAAATAACTGATTGTAGTAACTTCAAAAAAAAGTTAATGATAATTAAGCGCGAACAGGTTAGTAGAGTTATTATCCGGTTTGTGTAACGAGAGTTTAAACGGGTCAGCAATTTCAATTAACTATAATTGATACCGTTTCGTATAGTAATGTCTTGGCGGTGATATTTATAGAACGCTAATAATAAAATTTATTTCAAGCAAAATTTAATTACTTATTATCAATTCTCAATGTTCGGTTCTAAATAATTATCAATGATAGCTAACTACAGACGTTTGTGAAAGAGAAAATATAAAATTATTAATAATAATATAATGTAAGTTAACTATTATTGATGTTGTTATTTTCGGGGCAAAGAAACCACTTTTGAAATTTTCAATTAACTAATAAATTGCCATGTTTTCCACGATTTTCCCAGAACTAATCAGTAACAGTTAAACGAGCAATCATTATATTCTTTAAATTAGTGTAACAAAAATTTGTGTTGCTGAAATGAATCGACATTTGTGCGATATTCTCCTCGATTTTTCGCTGAAAATAACTATTTTCTGTTAATAAACAAATTATAGCAATAATAGCTATCTACGACAAAACTAGAAATTTTAAATAGCTCTCTGAATTAGGAGAAGTAAAACGGTCTAGATAAATAGAAACATCATTGAATTTTCTTGATTAAAATTGGGTTTTTCAATTAAATTATTGTCGGTGACAGTTAAGTGAAGGTGTTACATTTTTAAAATCTTAGTTTGTGAAAGAGGAAATATAAACTTATTATCAATTTAAATTGGTTGCAATTGACGTTGCAGTTTTCACGACAAATAAACTATTAGTTTTTAATTTTTCGAGATGATTTCAACGATTTTTTTATTAACTAATCAATAATAGTTAAACAAACACTATTTTCTTAAAATTCGTGTAATGAGAATTTCTGTTGCTGCTATGAATTGTTGTTCGTTCGATATTACCTTTGATTTTTCGCTGAAAATAACCCTTCCTTTGATAAAAAAAATATATCAATAATAGCTAGCTACGACAAAAATAGCAATTTTAGCTAATTTACTGAATTATAAGAAGTAATATGATCCACAAAAAGAGGAACATCATTCGTGCTTACCTAAGAGTTAATTTTTCAATTAAGTGTGTAATTATCAATGATAGTTAAGTGTAGGTGTAACATTGATGTTGCCGTTTTTACGACAAATAAACTACGAGTTTTTAAATTTTCGAGATGTTTTCAACGATTTTTCCATTAACTAATCAATAACAGTTAAACGAACATTCGTTATATTCTTAAAACCCGTGTAACGAGAATTTCTGTTGCTGAATGAATCGTTACTAGTGCTGAAAAGAACCCTTTTTTTAATTAACAAATTATCAATAATGGCTAGCTATGATAAAAATAGCAATTTTCGCTATTCCACTGAATTAAGGGAAATAAAAAGGTCTAAATAAGTAGAAACATCATTGATATTTAACTAAAATTCGAAATTTTTCAATTAAATTGTTATCAGTAATGGTTAAGTGAAGATGTTTGTTGTCTATTTTTAAAATCTTGGTTTGTGAAAAAGGAAATATAAATTTATTAGCTATTGAAATTGATTATAATTGATGCTGCAGTTTTAAGGACAAATAATATAATGAATAAATAATGTAATAAAATAATAATGATTTCAACGATTTTTCTATTAACTAATCAATAACAGTTAAACGAGCAATCATATTTTTAAAACTAGTGTAGTGGGAATGTGTTGCTGAAATCGGTATTATAGCTAGTTCACTTAATTAGAAAAAGTAAAATGGTCTACACAAATAGGAATATCATTAATTTGTACACCAAATTCGGATTTCATTAATTAAATCATTGTCAATGATAGTTAAGTGAAGGTGTTTGTTTTGTATTATCAATTTAAATTGGTTGGAATTGGCGTTGCAGTTTTTATGATAAATAAACTATTAGTTTTTAATTTTTCAAGATGATTTCAACGTTTTTTTATTGACTAATCAATAATAGTTAAACAAACAGTATATTCTTAAGAGTCACGTAACAAGAATTTCTGTGACATGAATTGTTGTTACTTCAATATTATCTTCGATTTTTCATTGAAAATAACCTTTCCTTCGATAAAAAATTATATCAACAATAGCTAGCTATGACAAAATTAGGCCTTATAGCTAGTCCACTGGACTGGGAGAAGTAAAACAATCCACAAAAATATGAACATCATTCGTATTAACTTAACAATTAGTTTTTAATTAATTTATTATCAATGATAGTTAAGTGAAAATGTTTGTTTTGTTTTCTTAAAATCTTAGTTTGTGAAAGGGGAAATATAAAGTTACTAGCAATTTACTCAGACTTTAATCGAGATTCCAGTTATTACGGAAAATAAACTAGTAATTTTTTTCAGGTAATTTCAACGTTTGTTCCATTAACTAATCAAAAACCGTTAAACTGTTCAGTTATCACGTTCTCGAAATCCATACAACGAGAATCTTTGTCGCTGAAATTAATCGTTATTAGTAGAACATTATTTTTGATATTTCGTAAAAATTGCACTCAACAAATAATATCAATAATAGCTAGCTAATCCACTGAATTAGTTCAACTAAAACGATCGATATAAATAGGACCATCATTCAATTTGCCTAAGAGTTAGTTTTTCAATTAAATAATTATCAGTGATAGTTAACTGAAGGTGGTTATGTTGTTTCTTTAAAATCCTGGTTTGTGAAAGAGGAAATATTGCAGTTTTTGCGAAAAGTAAGCTGTTGTTTTTATTTCTGCATGATCTAAATAATTGTCTATTAACTAATCAATCAGTTAATTGAAAAATTATATTGTTAAAATCCATTAACGAGAATTTTTGTCGCTGAAATTAATCGTTATTAATGCAACATTATTTTTGATATGTCGTAAAAAATTACACTTTTTTGATAAACAAATAACATCAGTAATAGCTAGCAATACACAAAGTAGCCCTTTTAGCTATTCGATTGAATAAGAGCAACTACAACGTCAACATAACTAGGAACTACATTCAATTTACATAAGAGTTAGTTTTTCAATTAAATAATTATCAATGATAGTTAATGAAGGTGGTTATTTTGTTTTTTTTAAATCTTGGTTTGTGAAAGAGGAAATATAAACAACTTACTAGCAGTTTAAACTGACTATAATTGATATTGCAGTTTTTGCGAAAAATAAGCTACAAATTTTTATTTTCTACATGATCCGAACAATTTTCCATTAAATAATCAATAACAGTTAATTGAAAAACATTCTTAAAATCCATTAACGAGAATTTTTGTCGCTGAAATTACTCGTTATTAGTGCAATATTATTTTTGATATTTCGTAAAAAATACACTTTTTTAATAAACAAATAATATCAATGATAGCTATCAATTCACAAAAATGGCCCTTTTAGCTAATCCACTGAATTAGTTCATCTGAAACGATCGACATAAATAGGGACATCATTCAATTTGCCTAAGAGTTAGTTTTTCAATTAAATAATTATCAGTGATAGTTAACTGAAGGTGGTTATGTTGTTTTTTTAAAATCCTGGTTTGTGAAAGAGGAAATGTTGCAGTTTTTGCGAAAAGTAAGCTGTTGTTTTTATTTCTGGATGATCTAAATAATTGTCTATTAACTAATTAATCAGTTAATTAACAATTAAGTTAATTGAAAAATTATATTCTTAAAATGCATTAACGAGAATTTTTGTCGCTGAAATTAATCGTTATTAATGCAACATTATTTTTGATATGTCGTAAAAAAATACACTTTTTTGATAAACAAATAATATCAGTAATAGCTAGCAATACACAAAAATAGCCCTTTTAGCTAGTCGAATGAATAAGAACAACTACAACGGTCAACATAAATAGGAACTACATTCAATTTACCTGAGAGTTAGTTTTTCAATTAAATAATTATCAATGATAGTTAAGTGAAGGTGGTTATTTCGGTTCTTTAAAATCCTACTTTGTGAAAGAGGAAATATAAACAACTTACTAGCAATTTAAACGGACTATAATTGATATTGCAGTTTTTGCGAAAAATAAGCTACAAGTTTTTATTTTCTACATGATCCGAACAATTTTCCATTAACTAATCAATAACAGTTAATTGAAAAACATTCTTAAAATCCATTAACGAGAATTTTTGTCGCTGAAATTAATCGTTATTAGGTAGTGCAATATTATTTTTGATATTTCGTAAAAAAATACACTTTTTTAATAAACAAATAATATCAGTAATAGCTAGCAATACACTAAAATAGCCCTTTTAATTAGTCCAGTGAATTAGAACAGCTAAAACGATCAACAAAAATAGGAGCATTATTCAATATACTTAGGAATTAGTTTTTCATTTAAATAATTATCAATTATTGTTAAGCGAAGGCGGTTATTTTGGTTTTTTTTTAATCCTAGTTTATGAAATATACTAGGGGAAATATAAACAACTTAGTAGCAATTTAAGCTGACTATAATTGATATTGCAGTTCTTGTGATAAATAAACTATTAGTTTTTAATTTTTACATGATCTCAACGATGTTTATATTAACTAATCAATAACAGTTAAACGAAGAATTATATTCTTAAAACCTGTGTAACGAGAATTTTTGTCGCTGAAATTAATCGTTATTGGTGCAATTTTTTTTTGATATTTCGGAAAAAATACACTTGTTTAATAACCAAACAATATCAGTAATAGCTAACAATACACAAAAATAGCCGTTTTAGCTAGTCCACTGAATTAGAGGAATTAAAACGGTCGACAATAATAAAAATATCATTCACTTTACCTAAGAGTTAGCTTTTCAATTAAATAATTAATTATCAATGATAGTTAAGGGAGGTGTTTGTGTTGTTTTTTTTTTAAATCCTGGCTTATTAAAAAGGAAATATAAAATTATTTTCGAATAAGTTAACTTTGATAGATGTGAGTATTTTAGTTACATTTTACAAATTTTGCTAGTGCCCGTGTCTGTGTTCACAGTTTGACCAGATTGACAATTAATTATTTCTTTCGCGAGTTACACAACATGAACATTTCACGAATTAAATTAAATTCAGGAAATTGAAACCACCGAATATTGTTATGTATAAACGACGCAATTTAGAGGCAAACTTTCTCTATTCGGTATTCGTATGTGTAAAAGTGCACCAATGTTAAAAAAAGAAAATAAGAAAATAGGGAAAAGAAAAAAATCCGGCGGTTAACCTCTGAATTGACCGTTTTGAATTTTCTCTTTTCGATTATCATCGAGCACTTTTCTAGCACAAGCTCGCCGTTTCGTAATCCGTTTTCGAAAAAACTCCGAAACTGGACCAAAGGCGGCAAAACCACTCCACAAAACACTCGCCTGTTGCGCAACGCGCATCGATTAATATTCACTTTAATTATCGCCTATGGAGAGAAAGTACTGACTTTTGGCCGCCCAGGAAGTCCCGTTCTGCAGACTCTGAATGTAGGTCTCGACGTCTCGTCGGCACCGCGTCCCATTCCAGTTCTTCATCATCCTGGGCCACTTGAGGTGGTCGAACAAGTCGACCAACCACCGAACTTCGGACACATTCCCCTGAAAAACCTCCTCTACAACGGGGTTATGCAACTCTGAATCCGGCACTGGGAATTGAATACCGTTGGAGAGGTAGGAGAGGTCGGACGAGTTGTACGCGTACTTGACGCAGAAGGCGCCCTCGAGGCAGAGCAGCGCGAGGAGGACGCGGAATTCGAGCATTTTCGTGGCGGTTCGGTTCGATGGCTATGTTGGCATTTTCGCGCGTGTGGAGCGGTTGCGAGTCGCGGACGCACTGACTGCACTTTCGATTTTGATGGGCCGAAGCTCTTGGTTTCCCCCGAGGAGTCGGAGAAAGGTGTTTGGTGTGGTCGGTGTTTCTCAATGGAGTGACGTAACGCCGGAACGGACAGGGGTATGGAAAAGAACAGATGGAGTGGTCAAGCAAAGGCTGGGTTGTGCGCTGAGGTGAGGGTCGATCACGAAAACGAGAGCGTTTGCTAGTGTGTTGGGCTTGATGGGTGATGGGCAAAAAATACTTCAAAATATCCACATTTTTTTTTTTGTTTCTTAAATTTTATGATTTGCAATTTTTTGGGTTTTCAATTTTTAAACTTTATTTTTCGTTTTTTCAATTTCAATTTTATTAATGTCAGGATTTTTCAATTGTTTTTTTTTGCAATTTTACCGTTTTTCAAAAATTGGATTTTAAAACTTCCATTAATTTTTGAATTTTTCGATTTTACAATTTTTGGGTTTTCCTGTTTTTCGATTTGATTCACTTCTTTCCAGATTTTCGATTCATTTTTTTTTTTTTGGATTATTATAATCGATTATTAAGTTTCTCGATTTTTGGTTTTTCGGTGTTTCAATTTTTCGTTTCTTCAGTTTTTCGATCTGCAATTTTTTATTTTTTTTTTTTGCTTTTTTGTTTTTATGATACCCAACTCTTTGAGTTTTAAAGAATCCAATAATTAGATTTTAAAACTTTTTCATTTATTCGGCTTTTCTATTGTCCAGTTTTTCCCTTTTTCGACTTTTCAACTTTTCGAATTAAAATATTGTAAAAAATTCCAAAATTCTAAAATCAAAAAATGAAAAATTAAAGAATTGAAATATAAATTTCTTAAAAAATCGAAAAAAATGCAAAATCTAAGACACGAAATACTGTGAAATCCAAATATTGTAAAATTGGAAAATTGTGGAATTGAAAAAAAAACAAAAAATTATAAAATCGAAAGAAAAATTTAAATTATAAAAGAAATGAAAAAAACGAAAAATTGCGATATGAAGTGGGGAAAATGAAAATTAAAAATCGAGTAAATGAAAAATAAAAATTAAGAAATTCAAAATCGAAAAATGAAAAATTCAAAAATTGAAAAAACGAGAAATTGAAGAATTTGGAAGTCGAAGAATTGAAAAATTGAAAAAATTAAACTTGAAAGAATGAAAAAGAATTAAACCTAAAGAAACATCGAAAATATAAAGAAAATGAAAAACAAAAAATTGTGTTATAAAATCGAGAAATAAAAATAAAAATAAAGAACTTGAAGAATTGTGACTCAAAAAAACAAAAAAAAAAAGAAAATTTTGATTGTGGGAAAATTTACGTTTAAAAAAGAGACAACTTATGGAACCGATTAAAAAATAGAAAAATTGAAAAATTAAAGAAAATAAAAAAAACGAAAACTTGTGATAAAAAATTGTAAAAACGAAGAAAGTGGAATAAATCTAAAATTTTGAAATTTGAAAAATTAAAAATCGAACCAAAACACCAAATAAAAAATTGGCACATTAAAAAATCTAAAATCGAAAAGTCAATAAATTGAAAAGTCAAAAACCTGAGAAATTGAAAAATTGAAAGTCAAAAAATCAATTAATGTAGAATTTGGGGAATGGAAACGTCAAAAATTTGTGAATTAAAAAATGGAATAATGAAAAAATCGAGAAATTGAAAAATTCCTATATGGAAATACCGAAAAGTTGAGTAATCGAAAAATTGTAAAATTGAAATATTTAAAAAAAGGGAAATGTAGGAATCGAAAAATTGAAAAATTCCAATTCTGAAATATCGAAAAATTAAAAACTGAGGAATTGAAAAATCAAAAAATTTAATTAAAAAACTGAAAAATCGAAAAGTCGAACGAAAATCGAAAAATCACTAATTTAAAAAGTCTAAAAAGTGAGAAATCAAAAAACCTTAAAAATTTTGAAACTGAAAAGTGGAAAAATGAAAAATGTAATATTGAGAAATTGCAACAATGAATTATCAAAAAATTGAAAAATTGAAAATGTAAAAAATCGAGAAATCGAAAATTTGAAAACTTTTAAAAATCGAAATATTGAAAAATCGTAAAACTGAAACATCGAAAAATTGAAAAATGCCAAAATCGAAACATCGAAAAATTGAGAAATCAAAAAATTGAAAAATCAAGAAATCGAAAAGTCAAACAGTCAAAGTCGGAAAATCAATCATTTAAAAAATTGAAAACTCAATAACCTCAAATTTGAAAAATTGAAAAATTAAAATATCGAAAAATTGAATAAATCGAAATATTGAAAAATCATAAAACTGAAATACCTATCGAAAAATTGAGAAATGCCAAAACCGAACCATGGAAAAATTGAGAAATCGAAAAGTGGCTCAATCGAAATCGATAAATTAATAATTTCAAAAATCGAAAAATTGCAAACTCAGAAGCCTCAAAAAACGAAAAATTAAAAAAACAAAAAATCGATTTAATCGAGGAATTGGGAAATCAAAAATTTAGAAACGTAAAGAAATGAAAAATCGAGAAATCGAAAGTTTAAAAAAATTCAGAAACTCTAAAACTTGAAGAACTGAAAAACTGAAAAACTGACCAATCAAAAACTCTAAAAATCAAAAAATCGATTAATAAAGAAACTGAGAAATCGAAAAATTGGAAATTTAGAGACGCCAGAAACTGAAAAATTGAAGAAACAAAAAATTGAAAAATAATTTTTATACACAATTTTTGTTTTTTTTTTAATTTTACGATTTTTCAGTTTTTCCATTTTTCAATTTTAAAAATGTTTCACTTTTTCAATTTTACGACTTTGGAATTTTTCCATTTTTTAGTTCTTGGATTTTAAAACTTCTTGGTTTTTTCAATTTTTCAATTTTTCGATTTTCACAATTTTCGTATTTTCCATTTTTTCAATTCAATTCGTTTCTCCTTCTTTCCAATTTTGCGATTCATCAATTTTCTTTGGATTTTAAAGTTTCCCGATTTTTAGTTTTTCAGTGTTTCAGTTGTTCGTTTTTTCAATCCTTTCATTTACAATTTTTCCATTTTCCACTTTTTTGATTTTTCAATTTTTTACGATTTTTTAGCTTTCAGATTTTTCAAATTTCTCGATTTTTAAACTTTTAAACATTGAAAAATAGAAAAAATAAAAAATTAAAAGACGAAAAATTGTGGTATCAAAAAATTGTAAAATAATTTTTATATGTATTTTTTTTTATTTTACGGTTTTTCAATTTTTCGATTCTTTTTTTTGATTTTTAATTTTTCAATTTGTCTATATTTAATTTTTCATTTCTTCAATCTTTCACTGATCAATGTTTCGACTTTCCATTTCTGACGTTTCTATATTTTTGATTTTACAATTTTAGGGTTTTCCAAATTTTGGATTCAAATCTATTTTTTCTAATTTTTCGATTGATTTTTTTGATCTTTAGTTTTCAATGTTTCCATTTTTTCGTTTCTTCAGTTCTTGGATTTGCAATTTTTCGATTGTCCACTTTTTCGATTTTTCTTTCAATTTAAAAAATTTTTCACTTCTCCGATTTTTTAATTTTAAGATTTTTCAAATTTCTCGATTTTTAAACTTTACGAATGGAAAAAATCGCAAAATTGCAAAATTATAAAATCTAAAGGAAGATTGAAAAAATAAATAAGATGAAAAAACGAATAATTGTGATATAAATTGGAGAAAATGAAAATTAAAAAATTGAGAAAATGAAAAATTGCGGAAATGAAAAGTTGAAAAATCGAAAAATTAAAAATTGAGAAATCGAAAAATCAACAAATGAGAAACTGAAAAAGTGCAAATCGAAAAAGTGAAAAATCGAGATAGTGAAAAATTTGGAGGTCGAAAAACTGAAAAATCGAAACATGAAAAAATCGAAAAATAAAACAATTTAAAAATCTAGAAGTCGAGAAATTAAAGAATCGAAATATCAAAAATCCCAAAAATCAAAAATCGAAAAATTGAAGAAAAATTAATAAACTGAAAAGTCAAAAATTTTAAAAATTCGACAAGCTAGAATAGTTGAAACAACGAGAATCGAAAAACTGGAAAATCAAGAAATTGAAAAGAAAGTTTCTAAATTGAAACGACGAAAAATTGGAAACCCGAAAAATTGAAAAATCGAAACATCAAAAAATCGAAAAGCCGAAATTTGAAAAGTCGAAAAACCATTTTCAACTTTTAATTTTTCCATTTTTCGATTGTTCAAATTAGGATTTTTCACTTTTTCGTTTAATCAATCTTTAATTTATATTTTTTTTAGTTTTCATTTTAAATATGGATTTTAGAATTTTTCCATTTTTTAGTTATTGAATTTTTAAACTTTTTCATTTATTCCACATACAAAAAATTTGTTCGATTCGATTCTTTTTTCCTTTTTTCCAATTTTTCAATTCATCAATTTTTTGGATTTTGAAGTTTCTCGATTTTAAGTGTTTCAGTGTTTCAATTCGTTTCTTCAATTCTTGGATTTGCAATTTGCAATATAAAATCGAAAAAATACAATTAAAAAATCGGGAAAAAGAAAAATGAAAATCAAAACTTTTCGAATCAAAATAATGTAAAAAATTCCAAAATTGTAAAATCAAAAATGAAAACTTTAAAAAATCTAAACATGGAAATTGAGAGTTTGAAAAATTGATGAAACGAAAGATTAAAAATTCATAAATTTGAAAGTCGAAGAATTGAAAAATAAAAAGAATGAAACTTGAAACAATGAAGAATTATGAAACCAAAAGAAGCATTGAAAAGATAAAGAAAATGACAAAAACAAAAAATTGTCATATAAAATCGAGAAAGAAAGATAAAAATCAAAATTGGAAAAATCCAAATCTGAAAAATTGAGACTCGAAAAACCAAAAAAATGCAAAATTTGAAAGTAGGGACATTAAAAAAGTGACAGATTAAAGAAAATGAAAAAATTAAAACTTTTGATATCAAAAAATTGTAAAATCGAAGAAAATGAAAAAATCTAAAACTTTCAAAATTGAAAAATCCAAATATCAAAAAATTAATTTAGTTAAAAAATTGGCAAGGCAAAAAATCGGAAG